GCGTTTGGCATGTTCACTTTTACAGTAACCTGAAAGGCTCGCTCATCTGGAAGTCAGTCATGTGATGATCCTACAGTGGCTTTCTGAAATGCCTGAATGTGATTCATCAGGTCTGTATAACGTCTCTAATGCTTCTCTGAAGTAGCTTCATGTTTCAGCATTTTTAAGCAACTGCGGTCGGTTGCACCAACCGTAGGATAAACTGACACAAACATTGCTAAATATTTAAGTGTTGCACCATTTTAGAGTAAAAGAGCATCAGTGAACTTGTGCTGTGCCTGACAGATAGGATTAATGCTAATGGTGATGAATCGTCGCAGCGTTTGAGGAAACGGTGTTAAACAGAAAAGCACTGGAGGTGGAAGGAGCTGCTCTCGTCTCGGGCCGAAAGCTTCAGTCGCTCGTTCCAGAACATTTCAGCAGCACAGCTTCATTATATTATAAACATTAACACAGAAGTCTAACATCAAACATAACATACAGTGATTTAGATATCATGTTTATGAAGACATGGTCTAATAATATCTGTATTCATCTGACTGATAATGAGCTCAACTGGAAAAACGAATCTTATCTGTGCAGGAACAGGAAATCGCATGCAGGAAATGAGCTTTTTCTGAAATGCTGGTGTCTTAGTGATGTGGGCATTGATATTAGTTTTTTTGTATGAGTGTGTTTTGCTGCAGAATAAGTCATATTTAATGTAATATAAATATGTGAGAAGGGTCCAAATGTCCAAAAGTGCCATATTGGATTAAAAATATCTTTTACTGGGTCTTCATTTTTCCTTCCGGGTCAAAAACCTGTAAAAAGGTCTTAAATCAGAGCAGAAATTTATAAGGTAATGGCATTAAATGTTGCATGCACTGCAAAAATAAAAAAATAAAAAAATAAAAATTGTAAATATAAATGAATACTAATATTGAATATCTTCCTCAGTATTTTTGGTCTTGTTTTCCAGTACAAATAACTAAACATCCTTAAATCAAGAAACATTTACTTGAGAAGCAAAATTAAGATATATGAAGTCTTGTTTTTTTTGTTGAGAAAATGACCAAAATTAAGAGAGTTTGTTTAATATCTGTCATATCTATCTGTCAGTGGAGAAGGAAAACTTGGTTTTCCTTTGAATTACGCAGATTTTTCTGAGGCCATTGGCACATAGTGTATTTGTTTTTGTTTGTAATCATAAAATCCGTTTTGATCAGTTTCTCATGAAACAAGACTTCATAAACTTGGTCTTAAAAAGGTCTAAAAAACGTCTTAAATATACCTTCATAAAACCTGCAGAAATATAATGGCGTTTTTTTGGCATCTGGCCAGTAACTTTATTAGCTGCTGCAACATTTCATATTGAATGAATCTATTATAATGTAGATTCATGCATTCATTTGTGATAGTAAATATGTATTAAATAAAAGAAAAAACAGAAATAGTTTAGAAATTTTTAAATTGTGTGAAGTTTTATTTATTCAATTGATTAGACATTTTTAATTATTATAATTTAATTAAACCATTTAGGCCTATAAATTTACAAAATCAAACTGAATTTGGGAAGAAATCAAACCGATTTCATCAGGCCCTTGGATCAGCTACTGTACATATTGATGCTCTTGTGTGATAAAGGTCTTGTGATTATCTCAATCTGCTTCAGTAAACATGTCTCGGATGCCTGAATCCATGTGTAATCTGTCCCCACATGTGATGAAAATATGAGGAACAGAATGAGTGTTCATGCCTTTAGTTTCAGTTTCGGCGAGAGATGGAGATGGATTTGTGTTGTACAGTAAATGCAGTATATCGAGAGGAGTTTTGACCTGCCTGAAGTCTCCTTTGACCCGCTCACATGTTTCCTGTAGCTCTGTACACAGGACCACTGAAGACACGTCTCTGTCAAGCTGCTTTAAAACAATATGCATTCAAAAAATGAAAAACAATCCCCATGATTTATTAATAAAATAGTTCCGTTGCTTGATTCTGATTGGCTGAGCCACGTTCGAAGCTGTTGTAAATTACTCTACAAAGTAACATACACCTTTGTTTACGTTTGTGTGTTGCCCGGCAACCACTTTGTTGCAACCACAACTGTTTCTGAGGAACTACATTGTTTGGTGGAAGAATTTTTGTTTCTGGAAGAAGACGTGCTGAGAGAAATAACCCAGAATTTACCTCATAACGCAATGCATCGCGCAGCTAGATCCAGTGGAGAATATCACTTTGATGAGTAGCCTAAGATTATTGCATCTGTTGTTATTGTTATTGTGACATAACTTGTACACATTTTACTAGTTAGACTTTTCTAATTCCTGACTACATGTTTGAAATCAAGTGAAACATTTTGAAATATGTGATATTTCATTGTCTAAATGTCTCACAACGCCAGGATGTTTGTTTAATGTTTTAACATATAAAACCACAAGATATAAAAGTAGTGTGACTTCACTATCTCTCAGGTGTGAATCACTAAATATTCATGGCCATTGTCACTCCCTCGCATAAGGGCATTCTGTCACAAAACATGTTTTACAAATGTTAAATCAATATATTGTTTTATGTAAATAAGTGAACAGGATAATTTTCACATCATTTTGTAGCAAAAACTCTAGTCTACCACATTCTCAAAAGTCTTGTGAACAAACGTTCTGTATG